TTACAAAAAGTTAAGGCTATAGCCTTACTTTTTTGCTGTTTTTGGCCCAGTTATGAAAAATGACATAAGTGGCTAAAAATGGACGAAAAGTTAAGGCTATAGCCTTACTTTTTTGCTGTTTTTGTCCCACTTATGAAAAATGACATAAGTGGCTAAAAATGGACGAAAAGTTAAGGCTATAGCCTTACTTTTTTGCTGTTTTTGTCCCACTTATGAAAAATGACATAAGTGGCTAAAAATGGACGAAACGTTAAGGCTATAGCCTTACTTTTTTGTTGTTTTTGTCCCACTTATGAAAAATGACATAAGTGGCTAAAAATGGACGAAAAGTTAAGGCTATAGCCTTACTTTTTTGCTGTTTTTGGCCCACTTATGAAAAATGACATAAGTGGCTAAAAATGGACGAAAAGTTAAGGCTATAGCCTTACTTTTTTGCTGTTTTTGGCCCACTTATGAAAAATGACATAAGTGGCTAAAAATGGACGAAAAGTTAAGGCTATAGCCTTACTTTTTTGCTGTTTTTGGCCCACTTATGAAAAATGACATAAGTGGCTAAAAATGGACGAAAAATGGCTTTACTTTTTTTTTGCTGTTTTTGGCCCACTTATGAAAAATGACATAAGTGGGTTAAATTGGAGGAAAAGTTAAGGCTCTAGCCTTACTTTTTGCTGTTTTTTGCCTACTTATGAAAAATGACATAAGTGGGTAAAAATGGGCGAAAAGTTAAGGCTATAGCCTTACTTTTTTGCTGTTTTTGGCCCACTTATGAAAAATGACATAAGTGGCTAAAAATGGACGAAAAGTTAAGGCTCTAGCCTTACTTTTTTGCTGTTTTGTCCCACTTATGAAAAATGACATAAGTGGCTAAAAATGGACGAAAAGTTGATTTAATGATTTAATGATTTAATAATGTTCGACAACTACTAAATTTAAATTTTAACAATGTAGTGCCAGGATACTCGCGACAGTATCCCCAATTACGGCCAGTCCTTAATAATTACATCTAAATCACGTTAATATTAGTATTGAATAATCTAATAACAGACAACTGACAATACGCTTAACAAAACATAACATACAACAAAACATAACATACATGCAACTCATACATGTCCAATACCTATGCAAGATGTCCAATGGAATAATCAAAAGGCCATTGGACATTCCATTTGTGAAATGGATCAAATGGACCTCCAATTTTCCATTGGACTTTTGCGTTT